AAGAAACATAGCTGTAACGACCCTAAATTTCCACATATCTAGAGTCGCCACTAACATCTCATGCTCATCTCTAATGCAGAATAGAAATCTAAGAGTGTTCATCTTTATTCACGGAAAAATTTAAAACTTCAGAATACATTTAAACATTGGAAAACACTGTCGGACTTACGTGTTTCAAACATCGTGCTAGAGTTCGAAAAGATAAAATAAAACGTTACAATTAATTAATATAAATGAATGAAATGCAAATGCCCTATCCTAACCAAGACTAGGAACTAAATATGCAACTATCCTATGCACGCGCCACAGTCTCTGATCACGATTCCGCCGTCAACTGTACATGGGCGCCTTGCCTTTACCTGAAAAAAACAATATGGCACACGACCTGAGTAGAAATACTCAGTAAGTGACCTCACTAGAGGGGGCCTTGCTAATGCAAACACATGCAATCATGAATAGGGACCTATCTCTAATCATCTTAGGAGTGGCCTCCAGTCTCGGACAAATTGGATGTGTAGTACTTCCCTACACACGACTCACACGTGCGAGTGTGAATCCCTAGGGTGCTCGCACACCCCCTGGACCCTCTGGTCAAGCTAATCTGTAGCGACGTACGGAGGTTAGCGGAACCCCATAGTGTCATGCGCCTCATGAACACCCTCATCTGTGTGCATTCGCACCTGTGCGCATTCGCGCTCATCATAAGGTGCGCGTCCGCACTCATCATCTCTAGGGGAAGTAGCCCTATGCTTATGAACATACAAAATGCATGAGGTCCCTCTAAATCCATCGTAATGTCTCTTCTGACACAACCCTCTAGTCTCATCTCTTTGTTACTCTAGGTAACGCATACTCGTGGATATTTATATTAATATCATTTTCATGCTCTTAGGGTTGTGTCCTACGTCGATCTAACGACATGATGTATATGGCATTCATCATCATCTAGCATGCTCAATATGGAAAACATCATCATATTAAGGTAAAAATCATGCAATCATCATGCTCATCATAATGCCACAACATGCGTCAAACATATCAAGCGTCACTTAACAAAATATATATATACTGGCATATATCATCAAACATCATACAATTTATTTAGCCTATTCTATAGTAAGGCCACTTACTTGGTTGGCCTTGGTCGAAGTATTCCCTAAATAGCTAAACGTAAGCTCCCGTTCTGTGAGAGCTGCTTCCTACGTCCTTGGGATTTGTTTCCTTAATCGGGGCCGAAAACAGGTTCAGGAGGGTCGAAACAGTGGAAACCAGGCTGAAAAATAGGTGAGCCGAGCCGAACAGCCGTTGGAGCCGCTAGAGCGTCACTGGAGTGAGCCCAAGCCGTTTGCGCCGAGCCAAGCCAAGGGACTGCCTGCGCCACTGTGTGACACGTGGCAGCAGCAGAGAGAGCCACGTCGGGCGGTAGTGTCGAGTCAAAGCGCGGGTCGTAGTCCGGTTTGGGTCGTGGTTCGGGTCGCGGGCTGTGGAAGGCTACTGGGCCAAGACTAATCGTTGGGCCTCGGCTTATAGGGCTGGGCCGCAAGTGTTTGGTTTGCAGGCCGGCTCAATTGGACCGTGGGTCTAGTCTGGGTTGGTTCAAATGAACCGTAGCTTCTGGGCCGGTTTGAGGTTTGGGCCGCTGTAGTTGGGCTGGGTCGAAGACAGAGGCCAAGGGAGGAACGGGCTGGCTCTCCCGGGTTCTGGGTTCGGGTTGACCCAGATCCGTGGATCTCGTCTTCCTTACCCGACTTCGGTCGATTTTCCGGTGAACTTTCTCTCTCCTTCCCGCAGCGTTTCCTTGCCGATTTCGGTCCTCTTCCTTCCCTTTTCCTCTTTGTTCGTCGTCCTTCTTTCTTTTCTTGGAGTTTTGCGGCCTAAAAGCTCCTAAAAGCCACAGATCTAAGAATCGATTAAGAAACCTAATTTTTCGACCTCGGTTACCGACGACGACGCCTACGAAATAACATAAAATGCACCCTGAGTTATTGTGCTTTTGTTAGGGATCCTTCTTATGGTGGTAACAGGTCGTTTGGTGTCGGTTTGAGGGTGGTTTGAGGGCTCGTCTGAGAAACTGGGCGCTCGCCGACGTTTGTCCAAAATCTCTCTCTCTCTCTCGAAATTTTTCTCTCTTTTCTCCCTTTGCAGGTGTTCTGAAGATGCTGGGTGTCATGGGCTGAGGGCTGGGCGTGCTGTGGCCGTCGTTTCGCGTGGGCTTCGCGAAACTCGTCGGTCGCCGGGAAACTCGCGGGTTTTCCGGCGACTGAGTTTTTAATTTAATTTAATTTTTTTATTATATGTATATATATATATTTTTCTTTCTTTCCCGGGTCGTTACATTTTTTAACCCCAAAAAGAACTTTCATCCTCGAAAGTCTCAAACTCTTGTACCAACTCGGGGTATTTCTCTCTTATTTCGTCCTCACGCTCCTACGTGGCTTCCTCATTGTTGCGTAAGGTTTTTACTTCTCTAGCTAAGATTCTTACTGGTTTTCCTCGTAGCTCAGATCTTCATTGAGCTGGAGTGGTTCGTAGTCTATTACGTGGATAGGATCCGTGATGTACTTCCTCAGCATCGACACGTGAAATACATCATGTACTCCTGAGAGGGCTGGAGGTAAGGCTAACTTATACGCTACCGGACCAACTCGCTCTAGGATCTTAAATGGTCCAATGAATTTAGGACTTAACTTGCCCTTATGTCCGAATCTTAACACACCTTTCATAGGTGCCACCTTGAGGAATACTGGGTCCCCCACCTCAAACTCCAGGCTTTTACGCCTTACATCGGCGTAGCTTTTCTGTCTACTTTGAGCCGTACGCATCCTCGCTCGAATTTTCTGGACAGCCTCATTGGTGAGTCGAACCAACTCGGGTCCTACTAATTCTCTCTCTCCTACCTCATCCCAACATAGTGGGGACCTACACCGTTTCCCGTACAGGGCCTCAAACGGTACCATTCCAATAGTTGCTTGGAAACTATTGTTATACGAGAATTCCATCAGGTGGAGTTTGGAATCCCAACTTTCCTTAAAATCTAGTACGCAAGCGCGTAGCATGTTCTCTAGAATTTGGTTTAAACGCTCCGTTTATCCATCTGTTTGGTGGTTAAAGGCGGTACTAAAGTCGAGGCGACCTAGTGCTTTTTGAAGTCCGCGCCAAAATGCTGACGTAAAGCATGGATCCCGATCCGACACTATAGACACTGGGACTCCATGTAGTCTTACTATTTCTTTCACGTACAGTTGTGCCCAATTGTCAACTGTATATGTGACCTTCCTGGGTAGAAAGTGTGCCGACTTGGTCAACCAATCGACAACTACCCAGATCACTGTATGGCATTTGGGCGTTTTGGGTAAACCTACTATGAAGTCCATCGCTATGTTTTCCCACTTCCACTCCAGTATGCTTAGGGGCTGCAACAACCCTGCCGCCTTTTGTCTTGGAGCTTTCATTTGTTGATAAACTAAGCACTTGCTCACAAACCCGGCCACATCTCTCTTCATGCTCTTCCACCAAAAGTGTTGTTTTAAATCTTGGTACATCTTAGTACCTCTTGGATGCATGGCAAATGGCGAGTTGTGAGCTTCCATCAGTATCTCCTTCCTTAAATCCTCTATTGCCGGAACACATAAGCGCCCTAATACAATAGTCCTGCATCTGATGACTTCGAGAATCCATCTACTGGACTTTCGTCTAGCTGTCCTAGGACTTTCTGTAGGTTAGGATTCTCTCGTTGGGAGGTAATAATTCTCTGCCTAAGCGTAGGTTGTACCGTGAGTCAGGCCAGCTGTGCTATGACTCCCTTGGTCGCTACAGCTATGTTGGCTCACTCGAACTCTCTTTGTACCCTCACTTCCCTCGTAATGAGGGCCGATGAGTGGACTGTCTTCCTACTCAAGGGTGGTACTGGATATCTACGTCATAATCCTTCACCAATTCTAACCACCTCCTCTGCCTCATGTTTAACTCCTTCTGGGTGAAAAAGTATTTCAAACTTTTGTGGTTGGTAAAAATTTGAGTTTTCTCGCCATACAGGTAATGTCGCCAGATTTTCAGCGCGAACACTACAGCGGCCAACTCTAGGTCATGGGTAGGGTAGTTCTTTTCATATTCCTTAAGTTGACGAGATGCGTATGCGACAACCTTGCCGTGTTGCATTAACACACATCCCAGTCCTTTCATGGAGGCGTCACTATAGATCACATATCCTTCTGAGCTCTCGGGTACTATGAGTACCGGGGCGGTTACCAATCTCTCTTTTAGGTTCTGGAAACTTGCCTCACAAGCATCATCCCATCTAAATGGCACCCTTTTTTTGTTCACTTTGTTAAAGGCGAGGATATTTTAGCGAAGTCCTGCACAAACCTTCGATAATATCCCGCCAATCCTAGGAAACTCCTTACCTCCGTTACCGTAGTTGGGCGTTCCCACTTTGTGATCGCTTCGACCTTGGTGGGGTCTACAGATATTCCGTCCTTTGACACCACATGTCTTAGGAAAAAGACTTGTCGTAACCAAAATTCGCATTTGGAGAACTTAGCGTACAACTTGTGCTCTCTTAGGGTGGTTAGGAATTTTTGGAGGTGTTCCTCGTGCTCTAGGTCGGTTCTCGAGTATATGAGGATGTCGTCAATGAACACAATCACGAACATGTCTAGGCATTCTTTGAATACTCGGTTCATTAACTCTATAAACACAACTGGGGCATTGGTGAGGCCAAATGACATCACTACGAACTCGTAGTGATAGTACCTTGTCCTAAATGCTGTTTTTGGTACGTCTTTCTCATTAATCCTAATTTTGTGGTAACCGGACCGAAGATCTATCTTAGAGACTACCGTTGCCTCTCTGAGTTGATCAAACAAGTCTTCTATTCTAGGCAGAGGATATTTGTTTTTTATGGTTCTCTTGTTTAGTTCTCTATAATCGATGCACAGACGCATCGATCCATCTTTCTTCTTAACAAACAACACTGGCGCACCCTAGGGGGACACGCTTGGTTAAATGAATCCTTTATCTAGTAAGTCTTGCAATTGCACCTTGAGTTCCTTCAACTCTACTGGCGCCATGCGATAGGGTGCTTTGGAAATAGGCCCAGTTCCCGGCTCGAGTTCGATGATGAAGTCGACCGCTCGGGAAGGGGGTATTCCAGGTAAGTCATCCGGAAATACATCCAAAAACTCGTTTATTGGCACGTTTACTAGGGTCTTTTTCTTTCCTCTTACGTCTATAGCACATGCTAATATAGCCCATCCACCTTGTTGGACTAACCTCTTTGCTTTCATAATTGAGACTACCTTGGGGGTAACCCCGATATTTGTGCCTTTAAATTTAAAGGTAGGTCCTGTCGGTGGTGAAAATTTTACTTCCTTTTTGCGACAGTCTATACTAGCTCGATTTTCAGCTAACCAATCCATGCCTAGTATGACGTCGGAATCTGTCATGTTTACCACCATCAGGTCAACGCTTAAAGTTTGGTTCCCTATGATTACTTGGCCATTCTTTACTCTATCCCTAGATACTAAGTCTACCCCCGCAGGGGTGCTTACAGACATTTCATGCAATAAGGGTTCTAATTCGAACCCTGCTTGTACAACAAAAGGCATGGAAATAAAGGAATGCGTGGAACCAGAATCAAATAAGGTAAAAGCGAAATGACCTAAAATGGATAGTGTACCTGTCACCACGGCGTCGGACCTCCCAGTATCCTTGCTGGTTGACGCGTAGGCCCTAGCTTGAGCTCGCGGTGGTGCTGGTTGATCCGTTTGCTCTACTACTCTGGGCGGGTTTGCTTGTGCTGCAGCATTTCCGGCCGTGCAGTTCACGGCGATGTGGCCCTCTTGACCACATCTATAACACGCTCGGCTGCCAGCCATGCACCTCCCACCGTGTAGTCTTCCACAGATAGTGCACCCTTCCTCTCTCCTCCCTCTGGCCCCATCTTGATTCCTGTGGTTCCTGTCAATACATCGGGGAGGGCGTTGCTCATCCCATCTAGGAGCGGGTCTGTTATTGGAACGGTGCCTACGTGCTGGTAGTGGGCGGTCAGAGCCTCCTGATTTATGAGGACGCTTCTGCCCAATTATAACTGGCTCTTCACGTCGTTTCTCATCCTTTGGTTTCTCTAAAGCCTTGGCAGTTCTCAAGGCTTCCTCATAGGTCTTTAGGTTGAACGCCTCCAACATGCGGCGGATTCTTGGTACCAAACCCAATACAAATTTCTCTGTCATCTTTTCCTCTGTGTCTACCATGTACGGTGCAAATCTCTTGAGTCTATTAAACTCTCGGTTGTACTTCTTCACTGTGAGTCCGCCCTGTACCAGGTGGGCGAACTCCTGCTGCTTTTTAAGTCGCTCTGACTTAGGATAATATTCTTTAAGGAAGGCCTCCTTAAATCGTTCCCAGTTCATTGGTCCCCCTTCTGGGTTAAGAAGGGTTTTGTTATCTCTCCACCATATCTCTGCGTTCTTTTGTAGGACGAAGGTTGCACAGGCGACCTTTTGGTTCTCTAGGCACTCCATAGTCTCAAAGGTGGTTTCCACTGCTCCAATCCACATTTGGGCTTTTATGGGGTCTACTAGGGAACCCGTGAATGGTCGAGGGTCGTATCTCTTGAAATCCCTTATCTAGTTTGAACATCTAACAGGTTGTGGAGGGTTTACTGGGGCATTGGCCTGAGCGGTGGCCTGTGCCTATGCCTGTGCCTGTACTTGTGCCTGTACCTGTGCCAGAGCCAACGCCTATGCCTGGGCCTGTGCTTGGGCTTGTTCCTTGGCCTGTTGTAGACTGGCTTGCTGATTGGTTACCAAGGTTTGAATTAGGGCTTGGATGGAGTCACACATTAACCTAGTATTAGCATTTACTCCCCCCACTGGGGGTGCAGCTTCAGGTGCGACTAGTTGTGGTAGGGTAGGCTGGGGTGGAGGTTCTACTGGTGGTGGAGGCTCAGCTTTTAGTGGAGCTTGAGGAGGTAGCTCAACTGGTGGTAAGACTGGGGGCGGCGTAACTATTACCGGCCCAGTCTCTGATCTTTCTTGAGGTGGGCCCCCTACTGCCACACCTCATCCTACTTCTCTACGACGGGGTCGCCCCCATCCTCATCTTCCTCTTCCTCTTCCTCTTCCTCATCCTCTGGGCATGGTTCTATAAACCAATATAAGGTTGCTTAAGTCTAAGGCCTTAATACTATGCATATATATAAATAACAATACGCATACTATACAATACATCGTAACGCCAAAGAAGTAAACATTCATCATGTTAAGCATCATAGCATGCTACTAACAAAATTACTCAGCATGCAACACATGACATCATACTCTTAAATAAATACGTGACATATCACAACCGTTTCAGTAATGTCAACATAAAAGAAAAAAAATTCACGCGAGTTTTAAAACGTTTCTCTTTTCTTATCTTATGCAAGGCGTACCTGACGGTGACGGGGCATCGACGTTGGGACCGTGGAGCGTGCCAAGCCTACATCGTAGGCTAGTCTACAGAATCTAAAACCTAGAGCTCTGATACCAACTTTAACGACCCTGATATTAGAAGGATCATCATGCTTCATTTTCGGGCAAGAGAAGTGTTTATGCAACATCTTATAAACTTTATTAATCCTAAGATGTCCCATTAAGGCACCACCATATGCTTCTCTCAAAAACAAATCTTTATAGAGCATTTAGGAATACAAAGTATACTTTTCTTAATTAAAAATTTATGAAACACATAATAATCATCAATGGCTTTTTTTGCAAGACAAGATGCATAAATAGTTTTGAAATATATGTCATCTGTATATAATTCTGTAATAGGCTCAAATCCAAGAATTTTTGTAGTAAGAGAAGTAAAGAGATCTTACCTTTTAGATAACACCTGAGCTACCATATTATCCTTACCTTGCTTATACTTGATGACATACAAAAATGCTTCAATAAATTCCACCCACCTTGCATGTCTACGGTTCAGTTTGCTTTGACCCTTTACATACTTCAAGTTTTCATGATATGTGGAAATCACTATAAGTTCAGTTTGCTTTGACCCTTTACATACTTCAAGTTTTCATGATATGTGGAAATCACTATAAGGGGAGTAAGATTCGGATTACTTTGTTGATCGAATATCTCAAGATAAGAACATTGTTTGAGATTCAAATCACTCCACAAGCAAGATCGATCATGTCTAGCTTAAATGATTCTTGTTGATCAAATATCTCAACGCAAGAACACTTGTTTGAGATTCGAATCACTCTACAAGCAAGATTGATCATGTCAAGCTTGAATGATTCTACATGCAACCAGAACTACATAGGATTGCAAATAAACATAGCCATTGGCTAAAGAAAGCACAAATGCTTCTTTTACTATATTTTCCAAGTCTACTTACAAATACAACATACATGGCTTTATATAGCCTCAAAATGAAACAATTCAAGCATTCCAAGAGTTGTAACATTCATACTTAATGACCATAATTAACCATGATGTAATTGTAACCTAAAATAAATAAAAAGTCTTAAAATACATTAATGAAATACAATAACTCTAATTACTCTAAATTGTAATCCACCCAAAATTTATAACAATCAAACTTCATTCTTCTTCGACGTGGCATGAGTTGAAACATCTTTTGATAATTTTGACAACCTTTTCTTCACATATTCATTGAAGGTTATCAATCATACAATAAACGTCAATGAGATATTCGATCAACAAGGTAATCCGAATCTTACTCCCCTTGCAGTGATTTTCCCATATCAATCAGGTAAGTAGCCTTACTATCGGCATGATTATATTTGATGTTGACACGTGCCCTGTGGTTTTGCACGTGTCATATATATTGATATGTGTAAATTTTTTGTGGATCAATATGCTTATGTGTTATGTATATGTTATAATATGTGAATGGTATGATAATAATTACGGTACGATGTGTTCATTGATATGTTTGAGATAGGATAGAGAAGGATGCACAAAACAAAATGTAATGATAGGAGTGATAAGGCAACCCTAATCCTCAGCCCAACGATCCAAGCTTTTGTCTTAGCAAGAACCCTTGAATCAAAGTAATTAACTGATAAGCGCCTACAATGCTGGAATTTGCAAAGCTAGAGGTCCTTCTAGAATCCTTGCAAAACATTCACAGAGAAAGCTAACTTAACGGATGATTCCAACCAAGAGCTGGTTAGAAGATGAACGACTCTTAGATCGAACTTGGAATCTATGATGGTCACTCTTAGATACCAAGACAATTCACTCCAGAATTAGCTTGATCAAAACTAATTCAATGAATCGGTTTAAACATCAAACCTAAAGCAAGGTTTGAAAAAGAATAACACCAAAAGGGTATTTAGAAAACACAAAGGTTTTGTCTGTATTCAACAGTTCATCCCAAACATGAATATTACATGTCTTTAAATAGGTCCAAAGGTAACCCTAACATAATAAAGTTCAGCCACCAACCACAAATCACTAATAAATGCTATTAAATACAAATGGAAGAAAATAAGGTATTCATAAATTGTCTTAATTGGTAGTTCAACTACCAAAAACAAGTCTTTTAATTACTTTCCAATGTCAGCCACTCCATTATCTTCTTGATTTGATATGCTAATGCTATAAAGATTTTTGGGCTCAAAAGTCTTTGTTTCAACTTGTACACGCTGCTAGCTTTCGAAGATGCAATGTATAGGTCTCTTGAATCTTCTTAACCTTGCTTCTTGTAATCGGTCCTTCGGGTACATGCAAAGGGTCAGCAGTTGAATTCATATCATCCTCCCTTTCTTTAAAAGGATTTGTCCTCAAATCAAGGTCTTCATTCCCTACATCAAATGGAGTCAAATCAACCACATTAAAAGTTGAACTTACATTGTCCTCACCTCTGAGATCTAGCTTGTATGCCTTGTCATTGATCCGCTCTAGTACTTGAAAAGGACAATTTCCTCTTGGTTGAAGTTTAGACTTTCTCTAACTTGTAAACCTTTCCTTTCGTAGATGAACCCAAACCCAGTCACCTTGTTTAAAAATCAATTTCTTTCTTTCTTTGTTCTTGCGCGTGACTAGTTTTTTATTTTTGTTTTCAATTCTTTCTTTTATGTCTTTGTGATTTTTTTTTATGTATTCGGCTCTTGAAGAAGCTACATCATTAGCAAACATATTAGGTGGCAAAGGTGATAAATCTAGAGGAGTTAAAGGATTAAATCCATACACAACCTCAAAAGGTGAACACTTAGTGGTGCTATGTATTGCTCTATTGTATGCAAATTCCACAAAAAGTAGAGTCTCTTCCCAAGACTTAAGATTTTTAGAAATTAGTGACCTAAGTAAGGCTCCTAATGTTCTATTAACAACCTCAGTTTGTCCATTGATTTGGGGGTGACATGTAGAAAATAGAAGCTTAGTTCCCAACTTTCCCCACAAAACCTTCCAAAAATGGCTTAAAAATTTTACATCCCTGTCACTAACAATGGTTTTGGGAATCCCATGCAATCTAACTACTTCCTTAAAGAATAGATTAGCTATGTTGGTAGCATCATCTATTTTGTTACATGGAATGAAATGTGTCATCTTACTAAACCTATCAACCACTACAAAAATGCTATCATGGTGTCTTCTAGTCTTTGGAAATCCTAGAACAAAATCCATGCTAATGTCCACCCATGGTTCGCTAGGAACATCTAAAGGTGCGTAAATACCATGTGGTTGTGTCTTAGTTTCTTCTCTCCACTGTAATTCTTCACATTCTAAGGTAAAAGAGAGATAAGAGTGAAAAAAAAGAGAGAAAAGTGGAGGGCAAAGGATGAGTAAAAACCAAGAAAGAAAAAAAAAAGTGATTTTGAGGAAAAGAGAGAAAATGTGAGTTTAGTTATAAGAAAGAGAGAAATGAGGAATATGTTAGCCCAAGAACCAAAATTTGTACTCATGTGCAAAGGAATGTGTTTAGCAATAGAACTAAAAACTGATGATGCTTTGCCAAATGCTTTAAGTCTCTTTTGCAGGAATTCAATGACATGTTTCCACATGAAGATGCATGTATGGGGTTACCCCCTCTAAGAGGGATTGAACACCAAATTGACTTCGTACCTGGGGCAACTCTTCCAAATATGGCTGCCTATAGGACCAATCCCACCGAGACTAAGGAGATTCAGAGACAAGTGGAAGAACTCATGGATAAAGGATATGTTAGAGAAAGCATGAGTCCTTGTTCGATTCCTGTGATTTTGGTACCCAAGAAAGATGGCACGTGGAGGATGTGTGTTGATTGTCGAGCCATCAACAAGATAACGGTAAAGTATCGACACCCTGTTCCTAGATTGGATGACATGTTGGATGAATTATATGGTGCTAATCTGTTTTCAAAAATAGATCTTAAAAGTGGTTATCATCAAATTCAAATGAATGTGGGAGATGAGTGGAAAACGGCTTTCAAAACAAAGTTTGGGCTTTATGAGTGGCTCGTTATGCCATTTGGCCTAACAAATGCACCAAGTACTTTTATGAGGCTAATGAATCATGTTTTGAGA